GAGAGAGAGAGAGAGAGAGAGCGAAAAGATCCTCAAAATTTGGCATCAAATTTTGAATAGTGAAATCTTAGCAAGAAGGTCTTGAAACAATATGTTTTACCGTAACCTCTTCCACTTAGAAAAGGAGTGGCCGTTGTTCATCTTGGTTCAACACACAAAAGGGGCCTTGTACTATTCTCCGGAAACTTCCCAGAGTCTACAGTGGGCGTCGTCGATTCTAGATCAATAGGAGAGCTGATCCTGACCCACCGGGAGATCCCACAAGTCTGATCTTGTTTTTCACGCCTCGCTGCATTTTCTTCGATATAGACTGGGACCAAAGTTATTTTTCCTGGTTGCTGAATGTTGGGCAAGATTATCCCAGATCTCGAGCCAATGGAATGAAGTCCTTGGCCTCACCCATGAACCTGGGTTGTTACGTTCCCTAGCTGGCTCTTATAATAGTTTAAACCAACTTCGGGTGAGCAAGAAGTGTTCTTCTCTTCTCCCACCGTGAGAATCAAGAAATATTTTTTTTGACTGTAACACAATCTGGAAGTTTCTTTGTGACATTTCGATTTTGTAAATGATTTTGTGAGCGTGTTTGTAAATCAATCTTTAAAATTTGAAATAATGTGCACGCCATCAGTACCTTATTGTGGTCATGGCAGCAAACAGCTGATAATTTAAAACATACTCGTGATTAGCTATCCGAGTTCACCTACGGTGTATGGGGTTAGTACACACGAAGACGATGCAGAACTGTTAAAGTTGTCGTGCGAGGAGAGAAAAGATTAGCTTGTTCAAAATGCAGCTCGATTAAGTGGGCCGTTGTCTTTTGTCGTTTGCTTCACAGCTGCTAAACAACAACGAAGTGTAAGCACTAGGAAAAATGATAGCCTTTTAAAAATCCCAGTTTTACCATTTGTGAGAGAAATTCAAAACTCGCATAAGACAACCTTTACATGTGTGGGAGGAGAAGGGGTGTACACTGAGCGAAAGTAGTTATGCCTAGACAGATAAGCTAAGCTATTTAAACAGAAATTATATCTTTACAGACACATTGCACAACAGTTCCGTCTCTCATTTCGCCCCCGCTGAGCTGGGCGAAAGCTTATGATCCTTGCTTAAAGAAACTCGACTTTCTCCTTTTTCGTCAAATCGGAACCATTAATTGGTGGATCAGATCTGAAGCCTTTCGCCTGTGACAATAGTCATTGTTACACCGACGCCAATTTCTGTGGTCAGGACAATGGATTAAGTTTGCTTACCTTTCATTCAAGGCTGGCACCACATGACTGAACAGGCCTTTTGACAGTAGAGTTATTTATTCCTAGTATGGAATTGACTAACGTGACGGTTGATCTTCTCTCTAGGAGTGTGGGATTTCTTCGGTACTGGCCCCTGGATAAACTGCGAGGGGATTCCAGCACTTGTTCAGTCTACTACTTTGAGTGAGTATTTTCTTTTGTTTTATTTCAGAATGTATAAATATTCTGTCTGTAGATCTAAGTGTCTCTCGATCGCAGTCTTTTCTCCTCTCTATCTATCTCCCTCTCTGTATCTCTAAGTATCCATCTATGTGTCTGTATGCCTATGTCCGTATCTCACTGTTTTTCTGTCTATCAGTCTATCAGTCTGTCGCTGTTTCTGTCTGTCTGTCTATCTGCCTGTCTGTCTGTCTCTTTCTCTCTGTCTCTTTCTCTCTCTCTTCCTCCCTCTCTCTCTCTCTCTCTCTC